CACAGATAATATTTCTGTGCAGAGAATGTCGATTCCTGTGCAGAAAATGCCGTTTTCTGCAAAAACAAAAAATCACCCACGCACAATGTGCAAAGTCCACAACTACAGCATTTTCTCCAGAGGAAACAGCATTTTCTGTGCCCAAGATGGGAGGATTTTGGTGTGGACGGTGGGCGTCCGCTTGACCGCTGACTGGCTCTCATGGTCTGTCTGTCTTTCTCTCTCTCCCAGCGCCTCGGTTTTCTTTTCCCTACTGTTCTATTTCTCCTGCTCAGGTCTGCTGGCCATGGGCAACCTGATAAAGGTACTGGGAAAAGATTTAGAAAACTGTCCTCATTTTTTCCTGGATTTTGAAAGTAAGTCCCATATGCAAATGGCGGGTGGCTTGTGTGTGGCAACAGGGGTGGGATTTCTCTGGTTCAATGGCAGCAGGAGTCACTGTTCTCAACAAATCTGGAGGCGGTGGTGGCCACCCCCCCCCCCCCTTTGCAGCAGAGTTGCTTGGAGCCCATGAAGTCCATTTGGGGACATTCGGTACGGGAGGACCTCCGCTTGCCAGCCCAGCAAATAAAGGATCAAGGTAGTGTCTCTCCCTGCAAGGCTTTACAATTCCCAGGGGAATTGCACATGCAGAGCATGGCTCTGGGAGAAATGCACCAGCATTATCCCTGCCAAAGGTTCCCGCAGCATCTATGGCCCGTGGCAGCCCTCTGGTTGTGGCTACTGATGGCTGCCAAGGAAAGACTGACCAGCCTTGAGCCAAACCAAGGGTGGAAAGCCTCGTGACGCTCTGCTCTCTGCATGGAGCCTGCAAAGGGTGAGTGCTTTTTGATGGACGCTCCATGGCTGCCATTAAACCGGCCTCCCAAGGGACACTCACACAGTCGCCCATTGGCTTCCCAAATCTTCCCAGAGAACAGTGACTCCATTCCTGCTTCCTTCCTATTCATTGGTTTTCCGTCCCATCACTCACCGCTCATCTCCATTCAGGGGCAGGAAGAGGCTTGGTTGACCTCTCCAAATTCCAACCTGGAGCACCAGCAACCTTTCTCCTTGGGTTTTTCTTCCCTCCATCTGGCCATCCTTAGCTGGGAAAGCAATTTAGAAATATATCTTGAGGTTGCCAAGGTTCTGGGCTGGTTCACCCCAAAGGTGTCCGACCATGAGTCGGTCATGTCCGAATGCAGACGCGTCCAAATGGCTCTTCCTGCCTCCCAGATGGGGCTGGTGCCCACCCCCCACGGACCCCTGCTCCCTTCCCAGCCTCACATACCCATCATGCTTTTCTCCCTCTTGTCTCTTCTCTTGCAGGTGTCACATGGGGAACCTTCTTAAAGTGTTGACTTATAACGAACTTGACCAAGGGCCTAATTTTTTCCTTGACTTTGAACGTGAGAAGGGATCTTTTAATTTTTATTTCTTCATTTGTTGGCTTTCGTTTGAATCCATGCCTTCCTTCATTAGTTTACTCATGCTTTGGATTGATTTATCCCCTTTTGTTGTAGTTGTCGACACTCGCGAGGATGAGAAGCAGTGCAGCAAAGCTGAGCTTCTCGCCGGTCAGTGGCTTCCAGGTCAGTGGGGCAATGATTCCACTCTGGGATTGCATCTCACCTTTAAAGGTGCTAGCACCTGGTCTCAAAAAGGGTGCAGCACCTTGGACAGATCCTTGAAAGTTTGGCCTGAAACCCAGAGCTGATTCCTTGCCCCACTGCACTGAGCACCACTGGCCCTATCCATTTTGGGCGGGAAGGGCAAAGTACAGCAACTGGACTCCAAGATATAGCCATGTTAGTCTGAAAAATCAGTATGCAAAGGGATCTGGTAGCACCTTTGAGACTAACTGAAAGAAAGAAGCTGGTAGTATGATCTTTCATAGACTGGAGTCTACTTCCTCAGACGCATGGAGTGGAGGGTCCACGGACAAACCTTAAGGAAGTGAGGAAGACCTTGAGGAAGTAGACCCACATCTATGAAAGCTCATCCATTACCAGCTTCCCTCCACCCCATGCATCTGAGGAAGTACAAAAGTCTGCAAAAGCTCATGCTAACAGCTTCTTTCTTTCAGTTAGTCTCAATGGTGCTGCCAGATCCCTTTGCATACTTTGCAGCTCCCTGCACTGTTGGGCACAGAGGCGTCCTTGGCAGAAGCTTAAAGCCTTTAAGCATGGCGGCCAAGGAGCGCATCGTATTAGAGGGGAGGCAGAGCAAGGCGGAGGACTGGTAGATCCTCTTAGGGCTTTCGGTGGTCTTTGGTGGCCCCCCGGTTGGAGACCTCCTGGTGCCATCTATTCATCAGGGGCCATGGATCAGATTACAAACACCTTAATCTCCAGCTTCAGATGCCTCTGTTGTGACCCTGCTCTGTACATGCCTAGTTGCCCAAACGTTTGTAATCCCAGAGTTGAAATAGCACATTGTGGCATCTCCTTGTGAGCAGAAACCAGTGAAAACCTCCATGTGCCTGGGGTGCTGTAGGTATGGTTTTCTCACCTGGCATCCCAGGTGAGGTGCCCTTAAACATGCAAGCATCAATCATCTCTACCTTGCTGTAGTCTGGGGAGAAAGAAATGAGAGAATGAGAGAGAGAGATGCTGGAGACAGAGAGAGATAGACAACCCATGGGGTGCAAATGGACCCCTGCTCAGAAGAAGGTGAGTTAACCCCAGGGCATAGCTATCACCAGGTGGATGGATGCTTCTACCCACCTGGACCCGATGGAAGCAGGTCGATGATGGGCTTTGCTCCTGGAAGACCCTTCCCTGAGAAACAAGATGGTGGCACCGACTACTCTTGTAATGGTGGCAGGTGTTTTGACTTCTTGCCCTAAGCCAGGAGTGGGCAATTGGCAGGGATTAAGGGGCTGTGTTGCCCCCCACCCCTGAGTAACTTGTAGGGCAGCACCCACCACAATAATTTTTAGGGGGGAAATTGCCACCAAATGCTCCCCCAAAAACTCCCTGTAGGGAGTGAGGAGGCAATTTCCTCATGCTTTTGGCCTCCTCTGGGCCCTTTTAAGAGTCAGGGGAGACCTTTCATCCAGCAGCAAGTGACCAAACAAAGACTCTTCTGGGTCTAAAGCAGCCCAGAGTGAAGATATGGAGAAATTGCCCCTTACTCCCCCATGGAGCATTGGGGGGGGGCACTTGGAAGCCACAATTTTAAAACCCATTTTGGGGCCACACTTCCGCTCCCTGCACAAGATGGCCGGTTAGCTCATTGCCTAGATTGCCATTGGGTTGGTCTCTGTTCTGTTTCCATTCTTCCTGCTGTGACTTCATTCCCTCTGTATATTTATTTTGCTATGTTTTTTCCTGTGCAGCCAAGGGCCCAAGGATTGTAGACACTTCCAAAAAGGCTCTGCTGTAGCACTATGACATTTCCTTCTCCTGAGCTTTGGGCGATGCATTTGGGAAGCATTGTGGAAACTCTTGGATCAGGCGCAGCCATTTTCACAGGCATCCCTGAACAGATTTCTCCTCCGAGAAACTTCTGGAGTTGCACTGAAGTTTGGGCCAGCCCCAAGATTTTGCCCCCCAACTTTGAGGGCATCTATACTATAGAATCTGATGCCACTTTAAGCCCCATCACTAGAAGTCTTGAGATTTGGAGTCTGGGGAAGGATTCAGAAATCCCGCCATAGAGATCCGTAATGCGGTGGTTCTCAAGTTGGTTCAGTTCCTCAGTTCCCAGAATTCCTGACTGTTGGCTCTACTGGGTGAGACTTCTGGAAGTCCAAGTCCAAAACTTCTGGAGGATCAGAAATCAAGAATCGTGGCTCTAAAGCACTTTCCTGAACCGGAGGGCCCAGGTTCTTTGGGGAAAGGGATTGTGGGCTGCATCTGCACTGCAGAAATAATGCAGTTTGACACTGCTCTAATTGCCATGGCTCCATCCTATGGAATCCTGGGATTTGTAGTTTGGAAGGCTGAATCCCTCACAAAACTACAAACCCCAGAATCCCATAGCATTGAGCCATGGCGGTTAAAGCGGTGTCAAACTGCATTATTTCTGCCGTGTGGATGCAGCCGAGGGTACCTTAGGAACTGCAGTTCAAGGGAGTGGACTAGAATGCGCTAGCAGGGAAATCTTTCCCTCACCAAACTACAACTCCCAGAGGGAAGCCATGCTGGCAATTGAAGTGGGATCGAACTGCTGTAAACTGCAGTGCGTAGGCAGTTCTTGGATTCCACCATTCCCCCACCAAACTGTGCAGGTTTCCCCTCCTGCCTTGCGTAGGGGACTGGGCTGGGGTGCGTCCAGCAAGCCAAGCCTATCCTGACCCCTTGCTTTCTTTCCGGGCGGCCTTTGCTGCAGATGCTCAGCCCACAGAAGCCGAGACCGCCGTCTGGAACCAGGTGAATGCCGTCCTGGAAGAGGCGCAGGCCATCCTGGCCGAACTGCAGTCCTACACAGGAGCCGGCCAAGAGATCCGAGAGGTACAGACCCCACTCAGCGGTCCCCTTTGGGCCTCCGTTTCTTTGGGACTCCAGATCCCAAGAGCCCCAGTCAATGTGACCAACCCATCAGGGACTTTGGGAGCCGAAGTCCAAAACATCTGGAGGAACAAAGGTTGGGACACCACTGCCCTACATGCATCCTAGGCTGTGACCGTTGCCAATGAGCATCCGAAAAAAGTGCCATTTATAGGAGCTCTTCCAGGTGCTGAATCTGGATAGCTCCATGGTAGAATCATAGAATCATAGAGTTGGAAGAGACCACATCCAGAGACAAAGACAAGGGTCATCCAGTCCAACCCCTTGCCATGCAGGAACTCAAAATCA